GGAGACCCTGTGGGCAGTTCCACTCTGTCCTCTAGGGGCGCTGTGAGTCGGAATTGACTTGAGGGCAGTGAGTTTGTTTTTTGAGACAGCAGTGTGGTTTTAGATTGTCTTGGTGTAATTTTTAGTAGCTTTCCCACTATTTTTGCCTCTTGGAAAGTTTCAGAAGAGTGCATCCTCATTAAATGTGTTTCGGTGTGTTTGGACCAGTCACATAAAATCTCTCTCTAGAATTGACTTTAATGTTTTTCTAGAAATTTAAACTCACATGTGTCTCACTCTCACTGCCGTCGAGTCAGATCTGACTCATAGTGACCCCTCCTTGGGTTTCTGAGGCGGTATCTCTACAGAAGTAGGGTGCTCAGTCTTCCTTCCGAGGAGTGGCTGGTGGGTTTGAACCGCCAACCTTCTGGTTAGCAGTCAGATACCCTAGTGGGGTAATAATCAACTTGTCCAAACAGATCATGAGCTTAACCCCCAGCCCTCTGTCCCCACAGTGTGTATTCCCCCAAGTCCCTGCTCCAGCCTTCTGTCCCCACGGGGTGTGTACCCCCAGGCCTCCGCCCCAGCCTCTTTCCCCACGGTGTGTGTCAGTCATGGTGTCTCAGCACTGGTTTGGCCTTAGAAAGATACAAAGGTGGCTTTTCAGGAAGTAGCATTGTGTTCTTTGAGGACCAATTAGTGATTGGAGCAGTGGGTCAGGGGACAAGAGTCCAGCACCTCCTCGCCATGCCTGCAGATGTGCAGGGTGGCTGGAGGTGGTCTTTAAAGTCCACCCGACCTGGCCCCCGCGTGTGGGTGGGACTGCTCCCTAAGAGTCTCAGGGGCTGACGTTTTGGCTTCGGTTCCCCAGGTCTGCCTGCTACGGTATCTCTGCGTGGGCTTGGACCACCAACTCTTTGGTGAGCCGGCCAAGTGTGTCTTAACTCAGTGTTCAAGACCTTCCCAGTTAGACAGGCTGTTCTTGGAAGTGGACTGTTCAGAGTCAGGGAATTCTCTCAGAGACAGCCCACGGTGGCCACACGGATTGTCTTCCTGACCCTCCACACAAGGCATCTTGTTACCCTATTTATTTTCAGTGGGTGGGGTTTTGAGGGTGGGTTTCTGTGTCTGTCTGTCCCCCCTGTCTCTCCCCCTCCCCCTATTTGAGTAAAATAATGGATCTTATTAGAGATTGTCTTTAAGGTGTCATGTGGGGCTGGGGGGACTGACTGTGCCCCTTCGGACCAGGCCAGTGTGGTGTCAGAGGCGGTGACTGGACAGGTGTGGCCTGGTGCCAACCCCAAGCCTACACACCCACTTGTTGGGGTCTGCAAAGCACTGTATTTTCCTGTTGAGCCTTTACCAGGGGAAAGAATGGTCCCATTTTGGGAAGTCAAAGGAAACAGATAATCATGTCCTGGTACCTTGGTCCTCCCCTCACTGCAGAGAACGTTTCTTTCCCCTGCGACAGCCAGGGGCTGCGGGTGGAATGCCACTCCTGGGCTGGCACTGGGCTCAGCCTCCGATCACCTGCCCCTTTCCCTTCGTGTCCAGGTGTGGGGGCAGCTGACCAGCCCAGAGGAGATAGTGTGAATGTTTGCCGTGGGGCCCCTGAGTACCTGAAACGACTGCCTGTTGTTGACTTGGGGGGCGGGTGCTGGCCGCGTGGAGCAGCTCGCGGCACTGATGGTTTCTGGGTTGACCACGTCCTCTCTGACGGAGAGTGTTATTTATTTGCTTTGACTGAAGTGCTTCCCGGGCTGTAGCAGAGCTAACGGATTCGTAAAGGGAGTACAGCCCTTCAGCCTAATTGGTCAGATAAGACTTTCCCTTGTTGGCTTAAATCAAGCAATTAGTGAACCGCTTCTAGCCAAAACCTTTTTTTTTTTTTTTTTTTGTCCTTTTTTAAAACTGAGTTACTGTCACTGGAAACTTTTTGTACAATAAAGCAACTGTCGCTGGTTCAGGACAACTTGCAGTCCTCGTGTGAATTGAACGCCGGGTCTGTGTTTTCTTTGGGTGCATTTGGGTTCCCAGGGGCCTGGCCTGTGAGCGTTTGGGCCCCTGGCGACCTGTTTGTGCCTGAGCCCCCACCTCCGTGTCTGGCCGTCAGTCCATCTGTGTCACACGGCCTCTCCTGTCACCTCGCTGTCCAGGGTGCAGAAAGGGCAACTGCCTAAGATGCAGGTCTTCATTTCTGTTATGGAAATGGAAGTTCTGTGTGTGTATGAAGACACGTGTGGGAACCTTCACCCAAAGTTGTCGTGAATACATCTTCTTGATGAGTGACCAGTACACACAGGCTCTGGGAGACAAGTTTCTAAACGATTTTGAGTCTGCTCTGCTGTTACACCAAAAACTTCAGGGCTTGTGTTGGCCAATTGGATTCGAAGCCAAGGTTCTATTCACCCAGGAACATGGCTGTGTAGCGTGGGCCTCCAAGGCGTGGTGGGCGGCTCCTGTGTTGGTAAGTGCATGTGGATGGAGGCACACACACGGTTTCCATGAAGCACCAGAGTCTACACATACGAACGAGAGTCCTCTTTCCACGGGTCCCCTTGGCCAGCTGTGGACATAGCCCTGTGCTGCTGCCAGGGGCACTGATCTTCAGGGCACGCCGAGGGGCTGCACAGGAGCACCCCTTCCTTAGGCCCTCCTCCTGCTTCGACCAGACGTTCCCTCGCCCCGGCTGCTCACTGGCTCTGCCCGAAGACCAGCTCCGCTGACGAAGGGCGGAGCTTTGCGGCCAGCATCCAGAGCCTTCCGACCAGTGGGAATAGTGGCTCCCGCCCGTTGGGGGGGGGCCTGCGGGAGCGTGCGGACTGCCCAGTGTGTGTGTTTAGGAAACATCCATGTCCTCAGCTGTGGTGTGTGCATTGAGCTGTGTCCCCAGAAAGTGTCGTGAGTCCTGACCTCTGCCTGTGGTTGTGGTGCCATTCGGGAACGGGCTCTTTGTTGTGTTGTTGAGGAGGGTTAGTGGAGCGTGTGTGGTTTTTTTTCCTTTTTTTATTGTGATTTGATTGAAAGTTTACAGAGCAAATTCACTTTCCACATAGCAGTTCACATACACTTTGTCCCATGATATTGACTACAATTTAGCACAATTGTAATGGCAACAGCTCCCCTCCCACTTCCTCCCCATAGTGACCTCTTCCCTGCGTCCTTCCCTCCATGCACTCCTGCCCCCTGAGCTATGTCCCTGTGCATACACAGCCCTTCTATTCTCCCATGATTGATCTCTCCAAGAAATGTATCTACCTAATGGAAATTTTCACCTCATATGCCTGTCTTGTGTTTGGCTGAAAGCACAGGTGTGGGTTCAATTCCAGGCCTGAAGGGCACCTAGGGGCCATAGTCTCAGGGGTTCCACCGTCAGGCTCTA